TTTTTTTTTTTTTTGGAGTCAATTAATTATAACTATTTCCTGAATCATGTGATCCGGATGCCATGTCTCCTGGAGGACTCCTTTCTCACCTTTAACAATCTTCTGAGCACAAGCGTTGTAAACCTGCTCCTGAGTAGTGTTAGACTGAAACACTCGATCAAACACATACGGCTTTCCCTGGAGAGAAGGAGAGACAGAGAATGAATGATGGCTCATTATGCATACTGTATATCTGTTATATATATATATATATGTGTGATAAATCAGCAGACCACAGTCATAAGACTCAAAGATGATCCTTCATGGAAATGTTTTACATTCAGACTAAACATGACCCTCATTACTACAGGCTAAAATACAAAACATCCTTCCCTCCTGTTACGAATGGCTCTAACCTTTAACACAAACAGCAGACTCAGTAAATCAGGTATGAAATTCAGCTGTTATAACACAATAAGAGCATTTTATAAGAGGTCTTCCTCCAGGCATGAGCTCACTCTGTACAGCTATAAACAGATTTAACAGTGAACATTCTGTTTATAAGCAGCCCTGCTTTCAAAAGTTTTTGACTTATTCCTGTTTCTCTAAAGGTTTTAAGATTTTAAAATACCTTGAACTACACCATCTGCAAGATGAATTTCATTACAAAAATGGACAAGACAAAGGTGCAAGACTGTATTCTCATCAAATACAGCATTGCAACTGATGCAACTGAATCATTTTTGTTAAATACCAATAATACACCACTACTGGTGTTTTATATAAAACATTAAAACTGTGAGTTTGTGAATTGTATGTGATAAGCGTAAGACTGAGCGCAGCTAAATAATTTTATTTTACTTTTTTTATATTTTACTTTTAATAAAAAAAGTTTAAACCAACAAGAAAACGAGTCCACAAGTAATTGAATCAGTAACTGATATGAATCATCAAATGACTCACTAGCTTACTGAAATGGTATTTTAACTCAAAAACAAACGAAATACGTTGGAGAAAAGAGTATTGGTAATTGTTTAGCATGTCCGTCAGCTGTGCATCTCTAAAAATAGAGGTAAAAAAAGCACAAATAATCTACTCAATAAAAGGCATAAATTGTTACCAGTTTGACAAGTGTAATCATTGTGTATTAGATGGCTATTTTCCCTGATAGCATTACGCTTGAACAAATCGATCACATAAGTGGGATGAACATGGGCATAAGATTTAAGAATGTGATGTCAGCATTGACAGTGAAAGCCTGTCATAGGAGTAGTAAAGTAATCCCTTTACATTCAGGTAAACTCCCATTCATTCACACAAGACAGTCACTAATCACCTTACAACTGATTGACACCCATCAAAAGACAATACATCATCACAATCCAGTCAAAAATACAGCTGAGACCCCTCACAACACAAGACACATCAGAACTCCTCTAAAAGATCCAGACGTTGTTGGGAAATAAAAATAAACAGGGTGATTTGATACCCAAGAGCTTGAAAGAAGAGCCATAAAGATTATATGACATAATAAAAACTGGTTCATGGTCTTTTTTTGATCCATGAGCGCTATGAGTTCTTGGTCTCATTGAATATGGGATATAAAAATACTGTAAGACAAAGATAAAGGAAAAACAAACAGAAGCGAACAAACTGCAGCTTAATTCACATTCTGTAGCCTAATTCACATAGAAAGATTTCTGAGTCTTTTAAAGAAGTCTTTTTGATTCACTTCTTGGTTTAAATCATATTGACAAAATCTACACCGAATGAACTTTAAAGGTTACAGTAGCAAGTTCTGTGATGAATCTGCTCATTAGCAGGGACACTTCCTCGTGATCCTAATTGGCTGATTCTGGTTGACGTGACCTCTCCACTCCCGACTGACTTCTTGTCAACCGTCCAAATGGCAAATTTCCTCACCATACCACTATAACACAGGACTAGATTAACCAGGTGAGGAAACAGCTGTGAATGTAACACAGCTAGGCAGATTAGTTTACCTGACCAACCTCTAACACATTACACACTCACATCTACAACACCACAAGCCTACATCTAAAATTCATTTTAAGAGGCTTATATTGGTGTCCAATGACCACCGCTAATATCAAGATATCTTGAATCTATACGACCACATAATCTCAGCAAATGACACAAACACACAAAATTGCTGACTTTATTGAACAGTAATTTGCATAATCTCCAAAAATACTTAAAAACAGACAATGTGCATCATGTACTGAAAATCCTTTACTATAATTTATGTATTTATTTCATACTATTATTATTAATATTATAATAATAATATTTTTTAAGAGACAACACTTTCGTTATTCGGTAGGCACATTTATTGGCTGATGCCAATAATCTTGGCCAAATATCTGACAATTAATTTCTGAGTGTTGTTATAGTATTATATATACTAACAAAGTATTTAAAAAAATTATAATAATACGTTTTCATTTTAGGTTTTAGTAATTTTGTTATGTGTTTGTCATTTTTATTCATTTTTGTTTTTTTTATATTTCTATTTAGCTTTATTTTTTATTTAAGCTTTAGCTTTAGTAATTTTAGCAGTTGTACTTCAACTTTTAGTTAGTTGGCAAAGTAACATTTCTAATTTTCATTTATGTTTTATATTTAACAAAACTTATATTTTATTTTAGCTTTGTTTTAATTAACATTTGTAATAGTTTTAATAGTATATGTTACTGTCCCCAACAAATCAATAACATCTACCCAGCAAGTTTACATGATACAGCAACATACAGCTTTTTTTTTTCGATTTTACATTTTCTTTAAATGCGCGTTAAATATCGCATGCGATTTATCGTGCAGCCCTAATTACCTCATGTATTATAAAGTCATTATAATGTAGAATAACTATGTCCATCAATACTAACATTTAACATTTTCATTGTCAAATAACATAACCTGAACATTCAGTGACCAAAATGTCTCAATAATAAAAGACTAACATACATGAGAGCATGCTCTGTGTTTTAAAATATTAATAATGCACAACATTACAGCTTTGGAATTTCAAATGACTTATTTTAATGTCTTCAGACAATCACAAGACTACAAGAAGAGTGTTTTTGAGTAGCTGAATGTCCCGAGGCCTCCTTCACAGCCACGATTGGAACAGCACTGTTTACAGCTCTCAGTATTCCCAATGAGAGATTATAATTGTGCTCCCAACGGTCACAGAGACGGGAACGTTCGTCACATGTTAGTTTCAAACATGCATGAGAGCGTGTGCTGTGCTTGCGTAGAGACAAAGAGAGAAAAGAAAGGAACAAGCGTAAAAAGAGCTGTAATTACAGCATTTTCCCTTATGAACTAATAGTGAAATGAGAACAATATCAACACAACAAGACATGCATATTCCCAAATCTGATCCTTGTATGTGTGGATGGACAGACAGGTTTGGTTTCCTTCGTTACAGCAAGATTTACTGCCCAATTTATGACCCTATCCACCAGCTGAAAGCCATTATACCAACACACGCACGCTCCATTACACCGGACCGGGATAGCTGCTCTGGTGCTTGATGCTGACTTGCCCAAAGCAGCTGGAAGACAAAACTCATTTGGCCGACTCTCAAATACACACACAAAACGCGTCAATGCACTGGAAAACAAAAGGCCGAGTGTTGGTCAGACAGTATGGTGTCACTGCAGAAATGAAGAACAAGATGAAAAATTCTAGACGCAATATTGCAATTTCACTCAGTAAGACAGAAAAACTTCCAGGCCAGATTGTCTACAGCAAAACCACAAAACCGCTCTGCCTAATAGTTACCCGTACACTACATAGACTGCAGGAGGGAACTACAAGACATGCATATTCCCAAATCTGATCCTTGTATGTGTGGATGGACAGACAGGTTTGGTTTCCTTCGTTACAGCAAGATTTACTGCCCAATTTATGACCCTATCCACCAGCTGAAAGCCATTATACCAACACACGCACGCTCCATTACACCGGACCGGGATAGCTGCTCTGGTGCTTGATGCTGACTTGCCCAAAGCAGCTGGAAGACAAAACTCATTTGGCCGACTCTCAAATACACACACAAAACGCGTCAATGCACTGGAAAACAAAAGGCCGAGTGTTGGTCAGACAGTATGGTGTCACTGCAGAAATGAAGAACAAGATGAAAAATTCTAGACGCGATATTGCAATTTCACTCAGCAAGACAGAAAAACTTCCAGGCCAGATTGTCCACAGCAAAACCACAAAACCGCTCTGCCTAATAGTTACCCGTACACTACATAGACTGCAGGAGGGAACTTTAGGATGTGACTCAACACCGCATAAGACTATTACTACTCTAATAGATATCTATAGCTACTGCATTCGGAGTTCAAACAAGTAATTAAAATAAATGCAAAAAGCATTATTTACTGCCATTCAATAACAGGATAACTCCAATTTCTAGCATGTAAAGCCATTTTCATAATGTAAATAAATTAGTAATGATGCATTGACAGAAAATAGAAGGGATGAGCAAAATCAAGACATTTTAATCCATAAGGAGAAGCCAATATCATGCCAAACCAATGATGTCAGCATTTTAATGAGAATTAGGCCTATTTCTTTTTTACAGTCTCTGAAGAGTTACAAATCCAAAACAAAACATATGAAAATGACTTCAGCTTCAAAAGAAGAGGTGCATTTAAGTCATTAATAATTAATAATAATAATAATGTAATGAATAACTTTACTTATCTAGCCAGCATCATTTACTCTTTAAACTTTTAATCTATTTAAACTTTCACATCTTCACAAACAACGTATTGTAATAAACTAACATAAAACCTGAGATGTAGGAACATTTGGATTATATACAATATCTACAGGCCCATAAACAAACAAACAAACAATATGATAAAGGAAGCGAGTTTACTTCATTTCATGCTCTAAAAATACACATGTATTTGTCTGTTCCTAATAGAAGCATAAATATTAAAGCCATAATAAATGACTCGAAATGGTCTTTGTTCATTCATGTTATTAAAGTAGGCCAAATCATAACAGACTGGCATTAGTGACTGTTGTGATCACATTTACTTCATCTATTCATTTTTAACGTTAATTTCACCTATTAACGTTAATCTCAGTATGAGATGTGCAATTGTATATATTTATTTAGCTTTTGTTGATTTTCTAAATAAAAACAAACTGATTAACATTAGCACAGGGGCTAGTGGTTACTTATCATCCGTTTAACATCAAAATCCACTTCGAAATGCACTAAAATACAAAATTATGCCAAAGACGCTTAGGACCTAACGTTACTGCTTTTAAGTTCATAATCAAACATTTTGACATTGTGCTGCCTGCATTACATCTGAGGGCTGTTAGCCACCGAGCTAACGATGATTTAAAACCCCTCACCTTACGATTATGTTACTAAATAAAGCCTCACGTACAACATTTCCCACACAGAATAATGCTCAAACACAAATTACTATCATATTTCCACACAAAAAAGTATTAAAGATGATATTTTCTGTCAGGATAAGTTACGTCTGCAGGTGGTTAGCGGATGCTAATAGAAATGGATGGCGGGCGTCACAGCGGAAATTCATCGTGATATCATATTATAAACTCACCCCGACGACCACATTATCGTCTGCTTGAAATTTGGGGACATATTTGTCTCCCCTCATCACCTCCGAACCGTTTAAAGGCCGAAAACGGCACATGACTTTGATGGTGCACTCGGCCGGGTCCGCCATCTTCAACTGTGAGGAGGATGAGGAGGGAGGAGGATGATGATGATGGTGAGCGCTCCTCCCGAGGTCGGTCTGTTTTTGGTCTGTTTAGGTGGAAGTGGGTTTTGACAGAATGGGTTTTGGATGGAGGGAGCGAAGTTGCTGGCACACCCCCTAACAACACACTCTCACACACACACAAACACACATAGAGAGAGATAATGAAACAAAAGGGGCTAGTTGTCAAACTGGGAAGCTGTCACAAAAGCTACTTCTTAGTAATTCAGCCTTTAGGAAGAGTAAAAAATACAACCTACACAACCGTTTAAATACATGACAAAATTCACACACACACACACACACACACACACACACAAATTCTACTGAGACCTTGTGACAACTTGCCCCATAATGAATCAAATGCACACTTATGAAGTTTCATATTCTACAACAGAGCTCCTTGCTTCTGTATTTGACACTGTGAAGTGGTCCCTCAAAATGCACGCACACACACTATCCTTTGCAGACGCAGCATTGATTCTGGATGATTCAGGGATCCGTTGGATCCTGATGGATGTGTGATGCCAAGTGATGTCACAGATGCTTTTGCAGAGCTGGAGGCCGAAATCTGGCGGATATTGGATGGTTAAATTTAAATGTCTTGTATCAGCTCTGATTCACTCACTTTGATTAAGCATAGACTTGTTGATTTATTCGTATACGATGGCTAAAGAAAGGTATGATAAACGAATATTCCAGATTCAAAACATAGAGTTAAGTTCTATTACCACATGAATAAAAATAAGAGTTTCATGAGGTATTATGGGTATTAAAATGCCGACTTCCTGCCAACCATAACGTCATGCACACAGATGTGGTTTGTGGAAATTACTCATCACAAGTGCTGCATGGACACATATACCGGGGTGTGGCAGGAGGACACATGGCTGGAAATATTTCAAATCCTTATGAGTAAGCAACAGTAGCAATGCTTGCATTAGCAAATACTGATAATAATTACAGATACAGCATTTTCAGAGTGGTTTCTTCTTGTACAGATTTAGTTCTGAGATATAGTACACATTTTTGTGGTTTGAAAGTATGTTTCTGAGTTGCACCATTATCTCAGATTTCCCAACCAGCTGCTACTTCAAAACACATTTCATAATGCTGAGATTTGGGAGTTATTAGGAAGAGGTATCAATGAAATGGCATGCCAATTCAAGTCAAGGTGAAAGACGCACAATCCATTTTTCTTCTGTAACGTGATGGATTCTCAAGTAAAACAGAATATTTAACAAGAAAAAAGTTTTGTTTTTTGGTAGAAATTAATGTTCAGCAGGGATGCATTACATTTATACTAGGTTTCTATTTATAAATGCTGTACTTTTGAACATGAATCATGAAAATCTTGTATCAAAGCTTTCATAACTTTAATCAGCAAAGCTGTTTTTAACACTGATAATAATAAGAACTGTTTCTTGAGCAGCAAATCAACACAGAATGATTTCTAAAGGATCATGTGACACTGAAGACTGGAGTAATGATGCTGAAAATTCAGTTTTGCAGCAGTAGAATAAAATACATTTTGAAATCTATTCAAATAGAAAACAGTTATTTTAAATTATAATAATATTTCACATTATTGCTGTTTTTACTGTATTTTTAATTATAATAAATGCAGCCTCAGTGAGCATAAGAGACTTTCAAAAAAATAATAATAATTTGAACAGTACTACCATACATATATTTGTACTAATGAACTGAGCAAAACAATAAAAGGATATGCATTAAGAAAATAAATAGATAGTTTTTTTGCAATGCATGTTGACTTTTTGAGTTATGTGACTTTATCATGGCATTCATCATATTTTGCTGGGCTTGTAACTCAGAGCTCAATGGATAAACCATTTTCTAGTATCATCCTCAGCTCGTTTCCTTACACCTGAATTTCTATTAGGGGATCAATAAAATGCATCAATCTCTGTGTCCTTTCACTAAACCCTCTGACACGTCTGCTAAATAGACTGTGCAGGAATGTGTGTGTGAGTGTGTGTGAGTGTGTGTGTGTGTGTTTCTGTTATCTGTGGTCACACCTGCTGCCACTCTTAGTGAACATCAGGACATCACCGCAGGCGAAAGGAAGCTGGAACGACACGTCTCAACGGCCCTGTTTAAATGGACAGATGGATGAGAGAGATAGAGGGAGAGACAGAAAGAAAGTGAGCTCAGCTGGGATTGAGAAAAAAAAACAGACTTTTCTGGGTGTTGCCAATCTGAGGGACTATGTTCTTAATTTGACCTGTTTAGACTGAGGAAAATATCAGGGCAGAGCTGCAATACAAACAAAAACAATTAGTGACTCTGATGAAATCCTTTGCTTTATGTAAGAAACAATTTAAGGGATAGTTGCATTATCATTGTCATTATTTACTCATTACTTACTATAATTCTTTATTTACTTACTTTTTTTATTTAAGTGAAATGTGGTTGTATGACAAACAGCTTTAAAGTTTTTTTTTTTTTTTGGAGTGTTACAAGCTCTTGGTGCATAAAGAAGATCTGTAGCCGGCTGTTCTGACTCACAGACTGTAAGTAAGTTTTTTTTATATTTAAAGAATTTGCCACTGACGATTCAAATGCGAGTTTTGAGCAGTGTAGAGTAGCTTTTGTTGTTTGTCATTTCTCTGATCACAAATGCAGACATGGTTTTATGTTTACGCGGCGCGATGCAACGCGTAAAAAGACAGTATAAGTCATTATAATCCGTAATTATGTCCCCACTGGATGCAACAAATGCCTAGTTTATAATGGGTTTTAATGTTTTTGTCTCATCGTTCCGGCCTGGACACGGCATCACAGTATGGTAGGGGTATACGCTTGAGGTATTCGGCCAATCACAACGCACTGGATAGCTGGCCAATCACAGCACACCTCGCTTTTCAGACCGATGAGCTTTGTAAAAATCGACGCGTTTCAGAAAGGCGGGGCATAGAGGAGAAACAATAATGTACAGTATGTGGAAAATAATGTGTTTTTTGAACCTTAAACCACATAAACACATTTCATTACACCAAATACACAAAATAATGTTATTTTTAGCAGCATCATATGATCCCTTTAACATTTTGTGATCCATTGAGAAAAAAAGAAGCATTTCTTCATGATCCAGACATAAAATAACCTTAGAAGTACATACAATTTACATAGAATTATTTAAAAAAGAAAAACAATTTAATTGATTTAAATATATTTAAATAAATTATATAAATATAAACAATTATATAAATAAATATATTGCAATTATTAACTTAATGCATATATTTTATAAATAAATGCATACACAAACACACAAATAACAATTAAAAGTGAATAAAATTAAGAAATTAAAGCAAAGAGTAAAACAATAAAACTAAAACCTTTTGGGTAAACTATGCTTTATTTTGACCAATTTACACAGGTAAACAAGAGGGCAGAGCTGTTCTTTAATTGCCTTTAAATATGTAACACCTTAATACCATTTGGCAGTCATTTCTTTGTCACTAAATTCAGTACTGATGAATCTGCAGTTCGTGAGATGTCATTAAAAGCTCATATCTATAATAATGTTAAATACAGGTATGTAGTGTTCATCAGATGTTTTGCATTTTAAAAGTTTTTACACACACACACACACACACACACACACACATATATACATATATTTAGTTAGATATCAGCAGGAGGATATACAAAGCATAGTGTTGTATGTGTGTGGATGAGTGAGCCTGCATAGGAAAACACCTGTTCTGGTTGGACAAGATCCTAAATACCCCTCGTTCTGTGTTTGGGGTTAGGCTGTGCAGGCCTGTTATGTTCATTCTGTGCTGGACATGAGCTTAGAGCCGATGTTGTGATTCATCACGCATTTGTCACACTAGATAAGCGCAGCATAGTCTGAATATTTGTAAAGCCTGACTTCATAGTGTATTACAGGGTAGAACAGCGCCAACCTGTGCTGATAACAGTGAATAGCAGGTCAAAGCCATTGGGATTTTCTTCTGTTCTGCAGTTCCATGGCTGTGTTCCCAATGGAGTACTTGCATACCTCTTACCACACAGTTTTTGTTCTAATTTGTATACTGTATATTGAACTGTATACAATTGTATATAAACTGAACAATGGCTACTCTTTTACGTACTATTTTTTTTTTAATTCAGTAGTATTATATCATGTACAGTATTCTGTAAGTACACTTCTTTCTACTTCAAAATGCCACATTTAATTCAATGTGTTACTTGCCATTCTTTGCAATTATTTGTGATTTTTTTTTTTGTGATTTACACTTGAACAAATACATTCTCTATAATAAATCAGAACCCCACAGAACCAAAATGGAAAATAAACAAAAATATATGCATAAGTTGAGAAATTTAAGTTGAAAAATTGTGTATACATAAATATATAAATAATGAAATAAACAAAATATTAACAACAAATTAAATTGTTTAACTTTTTTTGTTTTGTTTTTGCAAACATGAGATCATTACATGTTCAATTCTGTATGGAATTCAGTTAACATCTCAAAAATAAAAATATTTGTTTTGCCTTTCTTTCTTTTTTTTAAAATGTCCAATCAAATGATGAGTCAAGAAGAAAATATTGTAAAATATTGAAAAGTTAAATACTAAAAAAAAAAAAAAATTGAAATGGAAATGGAAAGTCGAGTCAAGTGCATTGCATTGTGGAATATGGAATTATATGCAGCGGATTTGTTCAAAATTCTATCAAAAACAGTATGTGTAGTATGATAGCATGCAATTCTAATACATTCCATGTCCAGGAAACAGAAAGGCACAGGTGCAGAAAACAGAATAATTAGGTATGAGAATAATGAAACTGATCGCAACTGGTGCTGGGCATTGGGGAATTGAGAAAAAGAATGAATATTCCGAGAGAATATTCCGAGAAAGATAATGGAAGAAAAGAAAGAGCTAGACAGAAAGACACAATACTCATTATTTAGTCTCTCAGTTCATTTGGGCCTGTCAGTTTGACTGTCATAACATGCTACATAATTATAACTGTCGGCTGCAGGACGCAATTAGAGCTGCG